CTCCAGACGACTCCTCATATGAATCGGCGTGGACACTGCTCATCTCACGGTTTGAGAACAAACGTTTAATAATCAAATCACATCTAGAAAGGCTGATCAACCTCAAACCGATGCAAAAGCGCCAAGCCACCTCGCTGACGAAAATGGTCAACATCATCAATGAGACCACTCAGGCACTCAGAACACTCACGGTGGAGAGCAATAATGATTGCCTCATGGTCACTCTTCTCACTRGACTGCTCGATCGAGACACTCGCGAGAGGTGGRAGACATCTCTTGCCTCCACCGATGAATTTCYGACACTCAGCCAGYTCACTGAATTTCTGGTCGCTCGTGCTYGTACATTRGAGACCATGGAAGCCTCATCCACGCCAGCTCAATCCAATGTGCAGAAGGGGGCTATGACTACTCRGGCAAGCTSGCATCAGGCATCTCAACAGCCTTCMGCCAGCTCAACAAGGTCGKTAGCTCATCAGACTTCTCGTCCAGCTCAGTCCCGGACAGCATATCCGTGTGACTGTTGTGGGCAAGATCACTACATCGCGATCTACCCAAGAATGCGAGGCTACTCGGTCAACCAAAGGGTGAGGTTGATCAAAGACAGGAGCCTATGCTGCAATTGTCTAGGCTAGGGCTAGGACCGCTCAGGAGGTGCCGGATGCACCCGCTCCCTCCGAAAAGTCTTCTCAAGCATGAAGCTTAGGGCAGCTCGTTGAGAGTTGCGATCATCCGATGTCAAGCTCAGTGCATCTCAGTCATCTCACATTGCTGGCCACAGCGACCGCGATAGTCGTCTCAGCAACAACGTCAGTTCAAGTTCGTTTGCTCATTGACCCTGGATCAGAAATCTTGTTCGTCTCAGAAAGACTCACCCAGCAGCTCAATCTTGAACGAAGGCACTCAAGGCAGGACGTTTATAGTGTCGGCCGAAAACGGACTTCTCAAACAAGAGGAATTGTCACTCTCAAACTTCAATCAAGGTATAGACCACTCACAGTGACAATTTCAGCTTACGTACTCAAGACAGTTACCACCATCCTGCCGGCCATAAAGATACAACAGGAACCCGTATGGCCTCACCTGAAGGGTTTGAATCTCGCTGATCCAGAGTTTTTCATTCCAAGGGCAGTAGAGGTTATAGTCGGAGCAGACTTCTACGGCCAACTYATCAGGCCTAACATCATTAGGCACTCAAACAGATCTCCTATTGCTCAGTTGTCCGTCTTTGGGTGGCTGGTAATTGGCCCAATTCAAGCACCTGTCACACTGGCAAGGACGACTCATCATGGCAGATCTCAGGCATCAAACTCATCCTTGCAAGAGTTGTTGACACGGTTTTGGGTCCAAAAAGAACCTCCATCATCGGACAAGTCACCGCTCACTCCTGAGGAGCAGAAGTGTGAGCTCCACTTCAAGACCACTCATTCAAGGGACTCGACAGGGCGCTGCATCGTCAAGATACCGCTCAAGTTGCCACCAACAGTCCTGGGAGATTCTTATCAGACAGTTCATCGATCGCTCCAACGAATTCTCAAACGACTTGGCAGAGACACTCAGTACGACCGACTGTACACTCAGTTTATGCCTGAGTATGAACAAGCTCAACACATGATCAAGCTAGATGACAGCTTAGTTGGTAGAAGGTCACACTACTATTTGCCTCATCATGTGGTGCTCAAGCCAGACAGCTAAACCACGAAGTTCAGAGTTGTTCTCAACGGTTCAAGCGCCAGCTCCACTAGTCACTCGCTCAATGACATCATGCACGCTGGTCCCAATCTGATGCTTAACATCTTCGACTTGCTTATTTGGATACGCCAAMTCAAGTATCTGTTTGCGACTGACATCACAAAGATGTATCAGCAAATCAAGATACACCCAGATGACCAGGATCTTCAACGTATCGTGTAGGTGAATTAACAGCATGTTGAATCTCATTTTCAGCTCACCACAGTAACCTATGGAACTAAGTCAGCACCGTTCCTAGCTGTAAGAACGCTGTTTCAGCTCGCTGAAGATGAAGGCTCCCATTATCCTCTTGCTGTGAAACCGATCAYTCACGGGCGTTACGTTGATGACATCTTCGGAGGATCTGATACAGTGAAAGAGCTCGTGGAGACTGCTCACCAACTCATACGGCTTTGCCATGCGGGTGGATTCCTGCTGGCCAAGTAGCACTCTACTTCTCAACAAAAGTTGAGAGAGGTCTCGTCTGAGCTTGGCGAGACCTCAAGCATTTCATTCGATGTCTGCGATACCAAAATCCTTGGTATTCAATGGTCACCTCAACAGGATGTGTTCGATTTCTSAACAATCTCGTCTACTCCCTCCAAACGATTCTCAAAACGTCTCGTCCTCTCAGAAGTAGCACAAATATTTGATCCATTAGGCTTCGCCTCTCCAGTCATAATTAAAGCTAAGATCTTTCTTTAGGCTCTCTGGTTGCACAATCTCGACTGGGACGAATCACTCTCGGAACAGCTCATCTCCCAATGGCTCAGCATCAGACAAGATCTCATTAGCCTGGCCARGCTCTYTATCCCACGTTGGTTTAACACGCTCTCTAATTCAGCTGTTGAACTACATGGCTTCTCTGATGCATYGCAATTCGCAATCGCAGCTGTTGTGTATCTCGTTGTCAACTCGCTGTCCACTGGCACCAAGGTCTCTCTAATTTGCTCAAGGATAAAGGTCTCACCGCTCAAGCGGCTAACCATCCCGAGGTTAGAACTSTCAGCAGCGCTGCTACTCTCCACGCTCATGAATCATGTTTGCGCTACTCTAAACACGAACATAACTAAGACAATTTTGTGGACGGACTCTCAAGTAACACTCACATGGATCAAGGCTTATCCATCAAGATGGAAGGATTACGTACGCAACCGCGTAAACAAAATTCAAGAACTCTCAAGGAACGCTCATTGGAGGTATGTGCCAGGCACATCAAACCCAGCTGACTGTGCATCGCGTGGGATATCCACAGATCAGCTGGTAAAGCACACTCTATGGTGGACGAGACCACCATGGATAATTCAATCAATGGCATCATGGCCGGCTCAGGTCAAAGGAGCTCCTAAAGACTCATGCGCGCAAGAAGCTTGTTCTCGTGTTGTACTCCACACGGTACAATCTTCTCCGAGTTATCAGTAGGATCTTATTCATCGATTCTCAACGCTCAACAGGTTGCTCCGAGTTACAGCTCTCTGCAGTAGATTTATCAAGAGGCTCTCAGGAGAGCTTGACTCGACACCAGCAGCCTGTACCTCAGTTCAATGCAAGGAAGACTCTCGACTCTTTTGGGTCAAGGCTACTCAATCGGCTTACTATTCAGAAGAAATCTCAGTGCTCTCAAGACAATCTCAGTTGCCAAGCTCGCACCCACTGTCTAGGCTCACCGCATTCATTGATGCCGGCGGTGAGCACAGGGTGGGCGGTCGCCTCTCAAGGTCCGAACTCATGTACGAGGCTAAACATCCAGCAATTCTCCCTCGTAGCTCCAGGCTCTCAGAACTCGTCATCGCCCATGCTCACAAGAAAACGATGCATGAAGGCACTCAGTCGACTCTGGCACTCATCAGACAACTCTACTGGATCATCGGAGGAAGAGCCCCAGTGAAGTCATATGTTCTCAGGTGTGTGGTGTGTGCTCGTTACAGGGGGATCCGTGCTCAGCAACTGATGGGCCAACTACCTCTGGCGCGAGTCACTCCATCACGCCCGTTCTCTCACACAGGCATTGACTACGCTGGACCGCTCACGCTCAAGACGTGGAAAGGACGTGGCTCTAAGACTCACAAGGGTTGGATCTGTGTATTTGTCTGTCTATCAACTTCGGCCGCTCATCTCGATGTCGTTTCAGACTACTAAGCCGAAAGCTTCATTGCAACTTACAGACGCTTCACCTCAAGGCGGGGTGTCCCGTCAGACCTCTACGCTGATTGTGGCACCAACTTCTTGGGCGCTGAAGTTAAGCTCATGCAATGTTTCTCAGAAAGCTCTTCAGGACGCCGGGAGATCTCTTCTGTGCTAGCTCAGGACAAAACACAGTGGCATTTSAACCCGCCTGMAGCYCYCCACATGGGTGGGAAATGGGAAGCAGTAGTCGAGTCTCTTAAGTTTCATCTCAGAAGATCTGTCGGAGACACACTGCTCACGTATGAGGAGACTTCAATACTCCTCGCTTAAATTGAAGCCATTCTCAATTCCAGACCACTCGAACCGCTCAGCAAAGATCTATAAGATACCTCAGTGTTCACACCAGGGCACTTTCTCATCGAAACGGCCCTCAACGCTGTCCCTGAAGGCTCACTATTGGACATCTTAGCAAGTCGGCTCTCCAGAGGGCAGTTCATCCAGCAACGAGTTTAACAGTTCTGGCGCATGTGGTCAACTCAGTATTTACAACAATTACAAGCCATCTCAAAGTGGCATCACGCTCACAACCAGATTCAGGAAGGTTCACTCGTTCTCCTTACTGATGAGCGTTTGCCTCCGGGAAAATGGCCCATAGCTAGGGTGCTCAAATTGTTGCTAGGGGAGGATGGACTCACCAGGGTTGTATCGCTAAAGACGGCTGCCACAACACTAACCAGGCCAATCACCAAGCTCGAAATCCTCTCAGTAGCCCCTCAGAAGGCAGCATAACTCATCATCAACTTCGTTGCTGATGGCGGGCGGAAATGTTTAGGATATTTAATTCTCAATCGGAACTCGCGACAGTTGTCGCTCAATGCAGACTCGCCACAACTCATCTCGGCGGTTGAAGAAGCGCCGTGACACCATTTTCTCAGGCAGCCATCTTCACTTGTTCTCTACATCTCGTTCCAACCGCACGTGTCTTCTCAACTTTGCATACGTCTTCTCAAAACGTACAAGTTCGGTGGGATTAATATAATCTTCATCGTCCGGATCTTATCTGATTAATATAATCAGACCGTCTCTAGTCTGCTCATTGTGATATTCTCTGTGTAAAGCTCGGAACGTGGTTCGCTCAACGGCTTCTCATTTTGAATCTCAACCGACACAGGGTGTACACGTACGAATTTTAATAAATCTGACCACTCACAGCAAATGCTCGGCGTTCTTCACATTTAGCCCACTTAATTCCTCAAGAAGCGCAGTAGCGTCATTCAATTTACTCATTAAAATCTTTATTGGAAATTCATTCTTCACATTTTACTAATTAACATTTTTTGGTAGCAGAGCATGGTTATTGAAACAATATCAAGATGAGAGTCAGTCATGTGAAGAACCATGTTGATGAGCAGATTGAGCTCATCAAAATTATCAACGATGCCTCGGAGAGTGCATCCAAGCTCCAACTCGTGTCGGAGAAGAAAATATTTTTTTTCAACGAGTGAAAGTTCGAAAAACRGCATTGCAAGACACTTGGAGCAAATTTTCTGTTACTCATGATGCTATAAAAATTGCAATAAGGCGATTAAGTGAAGATAAAAAGGAAGAAGTATTAAAGCTTTCATATTTCAAGGACGACCTTTACCGTGCCACCTACGATACTTATTTAGAAGCGTTGGAAAGGATAAATATTTTGTATGATCAACGAAAGCAAGCCGAAAATAGTTCATCGGTAACCAGTCATCTAGAATTTCCTGTTCATCATTATGGGCCTCGTCTTCCAAGTCTGGATTTACCGAAATTTAATAGAGCAGCTAGACAAAAGGTGCCGCCTACAGAAACTTTGAACTTAATGAACTTTGTGAGTGAACATGATATAAACAAATTTGCGGAAATTGTAACGTCACGAGTGTGGAACGGACTTTTGAAGTTCGGGTCAGTCAGTGCTGCAATATTGGGCATTGTATTTATATTCAAACTAGTTAAGTTAGTGATCGACTCTATTCTGCGTGGCTACGCCTTACACACAGTTTATGGGTGGAGCATACACCTATTAGGTGCTATTTGGGGCTCCATAACTGGCCTACTCCTCTACTTGAAGACCAGAAGGGACTTTAAATCTACATCAAAAATGGAAGAGGGAACCGAACTTCGAGAAATCTGCACGGGGCAGCAACAACTAACCTGCAGCGTGGCTGGCAGACCTCAAACGTTGAGGGCCACAAGCAGCTCCCAAACCGACGATACATCCGGTAAGCAAGTGCGGTTCCAAATAGACAATGAACTCTTTCAGAAAATCCGCGGGTGGCGAAGCCCTGGGGAATAAATTCCCTAACGCTTCTCTTTAAGGGGGGAGGTGTCACGTCCCAGTGACGACTAATTTCGAACTTTGCTGCGCCAATTATGCGAGTGTCCTATTTGTAAGTCGTTAGTCGATTACTATTTAGCTATATTCGTACCTTATAAAATTTGTACTCCTAATTTTGTCTTATAACCACTTTCATGAACGACCATCGATATT